ATCAAACTTTAGTCTCAAAAACCGGAATTTTCTATCAAAGCCAATCAGTAATAGTGTTCACAGCTCACCGTCGAAATTTGAGTCCTCAAATCCATAGGTGTCCAGAATTATCCGCGTTTGAATATTAAAATGACGACTCGTCAAAATAAGATACTCTGTGATATACAAAAAAACATATATAGGAATAGTGAGTAAAATTCCTAGTTTGAAGTATTTTTTAAAAAAAAATTTTAAAAAACATTTCTAGTTCTTCTGAAGACTATTTTCTGAAGACTATTCAAGACTCATATCAACCCTAAAAAATTCTGTAACTATCCCTTTAAAGATTTTATTTAGCCTGAAAAAATTGCTTTTTTGCTCCTTATAAACTACGAAAGATGGACAGTGGCATGTGCCCACTATTTCAAACTGCTAAGAGAACATTCAGATCCAAAGTCCTCACTATATTGCCCTACCTACCTATCACGACTGGGTGATTTTTCCTCTCTTAGATATGCCAATTTGCTTTCTGTGTTATATGAATTGTGCCGTTTGAAATAAACCATACTTCAACACAAGTACTGATGAATTAATTCTACGAGAAATTTCATCTAATGAGTCTTTAAGTTCTGTGTTAATTGGATTGGAAATAGTAACTGGTGAGATATTCGAGGAAAACCTTTCTTAGCTAAATTGACAATTGATTTACACCGTAAAGTATTAAGAAATCTTACTTCAATAGCTTTATCTGTTTGATATCACAAATAATCCCTTTATTCTATATATCAGTGTTTCTATAGTTAGAATTCCTAAACTGAAAAAATCCCCTGAAAGTGTATGTTTCCATACGAAAGTTTTGTGCATTTTTACAAAACAAAACTTATATACAGTCGCACTGACTGGTCTGTTTAGATGGTAAAAATAAATAATAGTTTCAGATAGTTGAAGAGACCATGACTGAATACCGGATACGAAATAAACTGGCCACAATGAAACGCTTTCAAAATATCAATATGACCATGTGTAGAAAGAAATGATTATTTGTCTATTTTTCTCTGCGACCATCTTGATTTTTTGTCAATGGTATACGAGAATGTTTTACTTCAATTCTTGATACGACAAGCTGTTTTCAGAATTCAATTTGGAAAATTGACATTCGTGTTATGGAGTATACAGAATTGCGATGAAAACTGACGAAGTCGCTCTGCAAAGATATTGTTGGGTCGAAAAGTCAATTCCGTTCAATCCTATTAAGTGAAGAAAATAAGGGTTTGCTTAGTCCAGGGTCGGATGTCGAAATATAGAAAGTTGTCAACAAAATGGTTAATGCTTGGTATTGCTCCCAATGGGTGCTCTTCTTCACGACAATTTAAACTACAGTGTTAAGATGAAGCACGAGTAACACTGTTAATCTACGTCGTTTCCAAGCTAATCTGAACATTAATAAAGAATCACTCGAGTAAATGATAGTAAATTAGATAAGAAGCGAGACTAGGTTACAATGGACAGATACATTTCTCTTTCTAAATAGCATCGTAACTTCCAGACATTTAACACTCTCCGGCTTCTAGATAAATGGGGAGAACTTGTAGAAGTAAATGGGGATGATTAACCATTTGGTATCACTGTCAGAAAAATGTTTAATCAGGCGCTATGGGATCAACTTTATGTCACACTCGGTGTCTGTAACAAGTTTTTCCATCGATCATTTCTAAAGATTCTTTTAACTGATCTTGTTGCCGAGTTATGTATTTTAGGAAATTAAACGGTTTTTTACGACATGATATGCATTTTAAGAAGAGGTTTATAAATTATCTCCAGACTTTGAATAGTTTTTTTTATTATCTATAACATGTAGACTATTTTATTTACGGTACAAATCTTGTATTTTGTGATGAACTTTAAAGAACGAGTAGATTTCAATTAAGGAAGCTTGCAATTTGGCGCGTCCATCATATTGGTCTCAAAGAATCCAAACAGATATAACTGAGTAAGCCCCTGGGTTCGTATTTTGCACACTTTGCAGTGCAATATTTACAGACTATGCATACGCTTGATGGTACAAACGGAATTTATAGGTGTTCACGACGTACGTACAAAGTCGAGAATCATACTATGAATCCCTTTATGAGGATCTGGACGAATGGAATTGATGGTATTCTTTTTACAAAGAGTATTTCAACGATCCCTTCCCGGAAAGAGATAGATAGTTTGCCCCTTATCCAATGCACCCTCTCCCAACCCGCCCCTCCGTTTGCCATCAACACAAATCATGTATTTTATAATTGGACATACGAGTCTGTTACTCAACGAGATAAATTGATAATCATCTTCATCTACTATTTCCTGGTCCACTATTTTATAATTACATGATTATAACGTGTCGGATACGTCAGACGCCCAGATTAAAGTTTTGATTAATTTTGAATAAATGTTTCTAAATCTACTAATAAGTAGTGAGAATTATAGATGTCTGTTTTAAAATGAGAGAAAATTGGAAATTTAGTAGTACAAATGACCTTGGTTTGACCGGAAGTGATAATGTTAATGTCTGATTGGTTCATCCATTATGTATGATATTAGTCGAGAGACAGTCAAAATGAGTTTTAAGCAGTAAAAATTATTCGATGGAGATGAAATTTGTGAGAATAATTACAATACAGCCTGGAACATCATCGTGTCGTATCATCTTTGTGTCAGACTAAATGATAAGCGTGACGACTTTGATTTTCCCATAGTAAATTTATTTGTTCTATTTAAGAGGATTTCCTAGCTCGAGTATTAACTATGAAATTGCTGAAACAGGGTAACTTGACACACAAACTTCATATGTCATGTGGGAAATTTTATGGTCGTTATGGAGAACTCCTTTATGAATACAATAAATCTGCTTCTGGCATTATGGTTCATTTTGGTCAGGCATGATCTGGTTGTATCTCACGATTTTAACAATTATAGTAGAGTAGTTGCGGGTGTCGCGCGTGAACCAGATCTTGCTTACCCTTTTCGAAACGCCTGATGGTACTTCTCTTTTGAGGAGTCAACTACTATACTACCTGTACTTCCGATTTTGCCATTCTTTGTACTATATTTTTGATTGACGGAATTGTCTTGCTTTTACGGATTTTTATTATTGGATAAAAAGATAAAATCGTAAAGAGGTACATAAGTGAAGTATCGCCGCTGCGATGGCTTGTTGGTTTTCATCATTACATTGTTTATTGTTCGTGATGACCACAGTAGTGATTTATACTAGCTGTGTAAACATTTATATTGTAGTCTGAGCACAGAAAACTGCCACTGTGCAAATCATAATGCGTCACGATATGCTTGCTGGAAGGACACGATAGTACACATACAATTTTTGCTGATAATTTCGCATTAGTATCAATGGGGTATGTATTTGCATAGTCGACAAAGATTTCCGCTGATTTTCTATGTAAATTTTGAAATATTTGATGTAAATAGCAGAGTGGATACTGAGTGTTATGATATAATGAAAACAATGAGATTGTCGGCTATTTGAAAGTAAGCAAGTGAAGTTCATAAAACATAGTTTATACCTATATTAGCATTACTGGAAAAACCAACAACGGCCTTAACAAAAATTACTATATCAGTGTACAGGAGACAGGACTTTTAAATGGGTTTTGTTATTGTATAGCTGACACATACTTCACCTTTAAGAAATCTTTCTAAGAAATCATTATCCAAAATAAAAATGTATCGAAAATACATCAATAACCTTATTTTAAGTTGTTGAGTAAGCAAGCTTTTATCGGAATATTTTTCTTATATGATATTGAATTCCCCTATCGATTCAGTAGGAATCCTACTTTAAATCTGACAGTTTCAAGGTAACAGAATGAAATCTACCAGAAACTGACAAATTCTTCATTAGACAACTACTATCGATTCATATTAGTTCCAATGGCTTACATTTTTTTCTTCCTCCTTTTTACGATCGTGATCTGTTTTTTTTTTGGTTCAATATCATACTAATCTGCCCTTTCATTAAAGGAGTACTACCTCTGGACATAAAATTTAAACTCTCAGACTTGGTCAACAAACTTGGTGTGTATATATTCATCAGTTGTATTTACCAGGTTCCATGAGTGAAGAATGGATTTTCTGAATATATGACGATATATCCATTAAACTAAATATTTATTGAAATAAGCTTCTAACCATGTTTCAATATAACTTAGTTAAATGAATTATTACTTAATTTTGTGGATTTATTGGTTTATTGAGTGATTCTGTCGTATAGTTTTGACACCAAGTAAGTTCAATGATGAACAAAGACTAATTTTAACCAATTTCAATTTTTTGGTTATCCTAAGTATAACTTTAAAGATGGGTGGTGCTAAAAGGTGGCTCTCATTTCCAAAGATATGCGCTAGTAGGCGAGGCAATTCCTTTGCATATTTTCAATTTTACATATAAACGTTGATCTTTGTTGACAAGGGAATTCCTCCATAGCTTGCAGAACTAGTTTCGGATCTCAAATTTTAGAGACCAAGGAACAACAACTAAAGGTAACTCACTTTTGATTGCAGGCCATATGTTGCAGTTGCTTGGTGCTGTGCCATAAAATCCACATAACTCGAGTATAGCAGAAGATAACAATTATGGCGGGAATAGCAAACAGCAGACACAGTTGAAATACAGCATAAGGCAATCTTCCAGAATCTGGTATACCAGCATCTCCACATAGAGTTACCGTTACTGATGATACATTGTTGTAGTATAAATTGGTTTCTGTATCCTGAAATTATGTTTTTAAAGATAAGTCTTGGCCTTCGGAAGACATTGAGAACACCAAGTTCCAATATGCTATTAAGCCGATTACGTCGGAAGTTTCTTGGCAATTGGAAATCGTAGGGATTGCCCTAAATTGCACAGTTTGTGAAATTAATCAAATTACCCGTCTTTATTTGCCCCAGGATGCTAATTACTGAAGATATGATATCTTGTAATGATGAGAACAAAAAATGTGAACTTACCATGACAACAAATGAAGGTGACGAAACCAATATGGCAGCTATCCAAGTTGTTACTAAAGCCATTTTGGTATATTTCTTGGTGCATATTATTTTTGAAGTAAGTGGATGAACAATAGCAAAGTATCTGGAAGGAAGAAAATAAATTGCAATAAAATGCTAAAATGACAACGAGCTCGCAGTTATTATTAATCCTTGCTTGGGAACATTTAGGTTAGGGCGAAACCTGGTATGCCTTCTTTTCTGACTTGCAAAAAGATTTGTATTTTTTTAGTCTTTCACAAGGACTTGCACCAGGCTCTTTTCATTAGGGTATGCCAAGATTAGAATAGACTTGTATTGGGATAAATTTGTCATTATACTGGAGTATTTTCATTGGAACATGTGTTGGTACATTTTTAATATTGATGTATTTTCATTCGGTCATGTATTGGTACATTTTTAATATTTGTGTATTTTCATCGGGACATATATTTGTACATTTTTAATATTGATGTATTTTCATTCGGACATGTATTGGTACATTTTTAATATTGATATATTTTCATTCGGACATATATTGGTACATTTTTAATATTGATATATTTTCATCGGGACATATATTGGTACATTTTTAATATTGATGTATTTTCATAGGGACATGTATTGGTACATTTTTAATATTGATGTATTTTCATCGGGACATATATTGGTACATTTTTAATATTGATGTATTTTCATAGGGACATGTATTGGTACATTTTTAATATTGATGTATTCTCATCGGGACATATATTGGTACATTTTTAATATTGATATATTTTCATCGGGACATATATTGGTACATTTTTAATATTGATGTATTCTCATCGGGACATATATTGGTACATTTTTAATATTTGTGTATTTTCATTCGGACATGTAATTGATGTATTTCCAAAAGGACTATTGGTGTATTGAGATATTAGTGTATTTTAATTGGGACCTTTAATGGTGTAATTTCATTGGGACCTGTATTAGTGTAATTTCATTTGAATCTGTAATAGTGTATTTTCATTGTGACCTGTATTAGTGTATTTCCATTGAGACATGTATAAGTGTATTTTAATTGAGACTTTTATTTGTGTGTTTTCTTCGGAACATGTATTGGCATATTTCCACTATGGTGTATTTTCATTGGGGCATGTACATGTATTAGCAATATCGGTGTATTTTTATTGGGACATGTATTAGCAGATTTCCAGTATTGACATTTGGACATAATTGAAGTATTTTCGTTTGGACGTATTTAAGTAGTTGTCAATAGGATTGTATATATTATATTGTAACAGTATCAGATTCGGATGAAAATGACAGAATATATGATATACTAATTAGTTTCCGCACCATAGAGATGGATTGTTATGAAACACTTGACGTAGAAAACGAACAGTTAGTTATATACAGATAGTTCATTATAGGCTTAATAATGATGACATACGACTTACTTAACCTCGATAGACTCGTCATTCCAGTACCATGATCAAAGAACACTTAATCAGCCGTACTGTATTCATAGAAATCAAACCCTCCAAGATTACCCGCTCACGTCTTTTCGCCTTACCGTTCAACACTTGTCAATGATAGAACTTATAGATAATCTATGAAGAATCAATCAGATGATTTCCTTTCCTAGCACGTATATTATTAACAAGATGTGATTAAACACTGCTTACTATTACTGGGAATTATTGGCACCAGACACGAAAACAACCATTTCTTCGCGTTATCAATATGAACCACGAAACAAGTCCAACCATGTAGGCAGATGTATTAATTGAAATTTCCTTCCTGGCCAGAGGACACGGGACTAATAGCTGACAAAAGAACTATTAGACACCATAATTAACTAAAAATTCTTTTTGATCAAACATAACAGACCAATTTAGTTATCATTTGTTGGCCTTAGTAACACAAGTCAATAGTATTGTGTGCCTGAAGGTGGCCTTCTACTTATTAACCTATTTGTTCGCAAGATTCAGACTTCGTGTTAAGGGCATTAAACCCGTGGTCATTATTGGATTTAAAGGGAGACACATTCGTATATTCGTTGATCTCATTTCTGCTGGCAGTAGCGCTTTTCGGGGTGAAAATCTACCATTAAAGGAGCCATCCTGGAAGGATGTCGGTAATTCTTGATTGAAAATAGAATCAATATTCTTGCGCATGTAAACACCAAGATATTGTACAATTCTACACCAAACTAGAGAACAAACTTAAAGGAGTCTAGATATCCGAGGCTATTCGGGGTCGTAAATTATTTCTAATTTAATAACTTAAACAATTTTACGATCCTGTTATTTCGAATTATTAATAATTCAAATTCCATAGTCTGGGTTATTTAGACACTTAAAACTGTTAAATTGGAAATCAAAATTTCTTATTCTTTGTTTTATACTTTGGAAAAATTTCCTTAGGCCCTACTTGTATTTACAGTGCGTCCAAATATGTAAACTGTGATTTTTTCAGTCATTTTGCACGCCAACATTTGAATGTGTACGTATATTGCCGTCGGCTCGGTCCGTCGATCCGTTGGTCCGTCAATATTTCTTTCGAACACAAGAGATTACAGTTTTTATATGATTGTTATGCGCTGATCACTCGTGTGATCATTTACATTGATGGGATCATGGACAAGTGTGTAGTTGACGATTTTTCGACGAACGACTTTTGAGTTATTGCCCTTAAAAGACTGCGTAAGAATAAGTCTGTGAACACAATAGAGATTTGTTTTTTGATGATTTTAATGATATTATGAAGGTCTTTAATGTGTGAAATTATTATATTAGTCCCTATCATCATTTCTGAAATCTGCCAGTGGGTGTATTTTACATTGCATGGCAAGCTATCTTTTGGTCATCTTAAATCACTTTAAACAAACTTATTCTAGAGATGACTCTCTCAATTTCCAGACATTAGAATGGGATTTTGTTATATTCACAGATAAGACTTTTTTGCATTTAAGATATCAAGAATGAAGGCAAACAATTAAAGGACGTTATCCCTTTCTTATCTGTAAGAATCCGTTTGACCTTGGGGTATCGTATCTAGAGCTTCATGTTCAAATATTTCTTCTGTATTCATGAAGACCTTCGATTGATCGAGCTATCAAATTTCATTGTTTTCATTAGGTCTTGTAAATCGAAAATAATATTTTTTTTATATAACCGATCAACAATCAATCTTGATTATTAGGACTTAAAAGGTGAGTTTTAAGCTTTTGTATGTGTATCGGAAATGTAATAAATGTAGTTGCTGGCTTAATCTGAAATGGGGAACTGAGTCTTTTGGTTTAATTTATCACGAAATCGTATCTTAATCACAACGCTTACTTTTGACTCGGGTAGAATGTGAAGCACAGTCGATAGTATGTTAGTCCGAAGGGTCGCTAATTCAACAATCTCAGTTGCTAGAGTCAGGTTTTGTTGAAGAATGACAATTCTAGGAGTAAACGAATCGTGGCAAGATTGGTCAAATTTGAAACTGCAATTGATATCCACGAAAGTGGTGAAAGCAGATCTTGCTTAATCAATAATTGAGTCCTTCCAGACAAAAATCACATCAAAAATGATCGGATGGAACCTGCAAGATCCTTATGTCACGGTTTTTGGTTGTTAGTTTGCTCTATTTTCATTATGTTCGTACCATTTACCTTAATTCAACACTGGTAAAGGCTTTAAAGAATCGATAAATTATTACTTAAAACTCGTTTGATAAAATCTTAAATCAGATAAACTGTTTCTAATTAAGATACTGAGTAGGTTAGTGGATAAATAACACATTATGAGTTCGAAACGGAGCTAATATTCTATAATATTATATATTGCTTTAATGAGGTTAACGATTAAATAAGAACCAAAATGTTGATGAACAAGAAAATGGAACTAATTTACAGATTTTCAGGGAATTAGTAAAATACTGAAGGGTGCTCGTACAGGATTGTCGACAGCAATTATTATGAGAAAAAACTTAATCCCATAGTGAATTTTCGTGTTTTTTAACACCACAGGAATTATTTTTAACGATTTCATAATTTTTTGAAAGCTTTCTGGTGTTTTATGACTAAGTAATTGTTTATTGATGTTGTATTATCTCTCGACTTTTAACTTCTAGTTCCCTAAGTTGCTAAATTACTCTTGAGTATACTACAAATTTTAACACGAACTCGATTGATCGTTAGTGTAGAAAGTTCCCTGATTCTTATGAGAAATATATGGTTTTTAATGTGATACGTTTGAATGAATAATTTGCTTTACCAGTTGAGATTAATTTAAGTTTTCCGTACTACTGTTTAAAATTACAATTCGATGATGTATTGTCTATAATTTAATAAAAACACTGTAACAGACTGATAACATTTGGAATTTTTCAGAACACTCGAATAGATAAAAACCGGCACCTCTTTATATATATTATTCTACTCCGTTTTTCATTTCAAACTTCACGTAGGTTTGTATTCTGAAAATTGTCTTGGATAGCCAGCTTAACTGCACAGGACAGCTGTTAAGCCAATTGAAGGAAAGTTTCACCTGACTATGCAGGACAGTTTTTTGGCTCATCTCAATAGAACCATAATTGAACCAAACTCGTCTTGTAATATGGCACGGTGCAAGTAGTATGTATACCAAAGTTCTTACGAATTAACATATTTAAGCAAACGAATTCGCTAGGATGAAGCTCATGCAAGCTTCAGTCGTGCAGTAACTTGTTGGACTGGTTGTAGCACATTTAAGCTCCACCTACTTTCCTCTAAGATTCTTTATGGTTTTCATGTTATCCAAGTAGGGTACAACACCAAATTGATAATAAAACATGGTTTTTCTCGTACACACATTTTATTTCTTATAAAAATCAAAGGGAAAAAAATGCTATTTATGTTACAAATAGTTTTAACGAAACTTACCTTTCAGCACTGATTAAAATCAGATTGAAGATGGTGGCTGTAGCTGACATCATCTCAACAAATCCAGACAATTTACATAAAAAATTACTTAATTCCCAATGTCCAATAAAATATCGTCCAACTTCTGCTGGAACACAAACTAATAAAAATAATACATCAGCCCAGGCCATACTTAATAAACAAGGAAAAGTTACACATTTAGCACCATGTCCACAACACATGACCGCAATGACCACAAAATTACCAAATAATCCCAAAACAAATGTAATTCCATACACTACAACCATGGGTATAAAATGAGGTTCTCGAACCCAAGGTTTACGAAGTTGTTCTAAATCACCATAATAAAAATAAGCATAAGTAAAATTATATTTTTGTTGAAGTAATAGCGTTTCATTATCCATCATCTCCATTTTGACAATATTCGTGAAAGCTTCACTTAACTCAGCAAGATATTGTCTCTTCAAGAATAAGTTTTTTGTATGAGCACGATGGAAGTGAAGAGTTGCATTACTGAAAAACCATATAACGTCTAATTTGTTGCAGTCAAATCTAATGATCTTTGCAATTCCTCTTTTCTGGTTTGATTTTTGACTCTTGTAAAATTCTCTTGCCAATTCTTTTGGGTTTCTTCTGTTTAAATCTGTAAAGAAAAAATGTTGTTATCGAATGTTTTATTCATACAACAAATAACGTAAGTAGCCTAATAAAACCACAAGGGGGCAATACACATAGAGCTTTATCTAAAACTTCGAAAATATTATGAAGATTAACAGAGCGATCCAGACCAACCTATCTAGAAAACCTCTCTCCCATTCGCATTGACGCAAGAGCCAATTTGTTCCATCATGGCCATCCAGAATATTTTGGTACAATCAAACCCTCCCGACATTGAAATCCCATTTCAAACCAGCTTTCTTTTCGAAAAGCAATGTATCGGCAGAGCAGAATATCCTTTAAAAATAAATTAAATTTAGGTGAACTGAGAAACTTTTCAAATATAAACAGAATACCCACCACATTCAAGGAGCAAAACATAGAATCTGATTGACAATGATGAGTTTAAACAATGAGAGATTCTCTTTTTGTTTTAAACAATATCTTTTTCTTGTGATCATTAATCAGTCACGATTTCATGCCTCTTCCCATCTTCATTATCACGAATAGTGTGAGTATTTAACTATCATTTGATTGGCTGACCATTTAAATACATGGAAGCAAAATAACACTGTAATTTGGGTAATTTTTAACAGGCTACAATGCAGGCCCGTAGCCAGACTTGATTGTTTGAAGGGACAATAGTGTGCAGTGTTTAGTTGCAGTAATGTTATTCCTCGGTCTTCAATAGGGTAGGGGGTGGGGTTAAATTAGTCTCTCTCCGCTTTTACCACACTGTAGCTTCGGGTCTGCAACACTGTCGTAGGTGGCGCTGAGGGCTATAAATCGTTAAAGAAAATAATGTCTATATGATGGATGTGGATCAAGGGATAGGTTTTTCTTCAGGCTCGTACACCCTTGATAAATCAAGTGACATCTTGGCTACGAATATCCTGGCCACTTCATATTAATACCCAATAATATTAACTGCGACGTCAGTAGAGTATCGTCAGTGAATAACATCGGCTAAAAGTCTGCATTATGAACGACAAAGTATTAGAAGAATTAAGAATGAAATGACACTCTTGAGATGATTTATTCATGTTGGCCAAGTTCTCGCGTCGGACACATCCAACTTAATTAGTATTTATAATGCAGAAAATAAAGGCCTATTCAAATTTATACCGTATGAATCAAATTGAATTTCTCGTGAGATAAAATGAATCAGCGTTTGTAGGAAACACCAGGACAAGCAAGTGCCACAAGATTTTCAAGGTCAGCATCTTTTCTGGAGGGAGAGGGACATGCTCCGTACAAACACCACGTTGTGATAAGGTCACGGCCATGATGAGTGAAATGGATTAACGAATATTGGCACTCAGACGTCTAGATGTGGCTCTTACCATTCCAATAAACCTAAACGTTTTATGACGTCAATATTGTAATAGAACCTTTGCGATAGTGACGTCAAAACACGTATACTTTATGGAGCATTGCAACGTGAAACAGACGTCTGATTGGCGGAAAGGTTTAAATCAATGCCATTGTGTTCCAAAATTATGTGTCTAAACACAATTTTTCTTTACAATTCCATTTCTAGGGCTTTCCAATATCATTAGTAACCATCTGATTACATCTCAGCAAGAAACCATTTCAAATCCAGGTGTCAGTGTGGGGGTGTTTTAACAGAATTCATGCATTATATAAAAATCAATCGAATCGCAGTCTTTTGTCATTAAAATTCTGATTTTTTTCAGAGTTCACAAAATTTCGAAATGAAGCAAGCTATATCGTTCAACATATCTTCGGGTCCATATAGGTTTTGGCAATTTTAAATTTAAAGAAACACACTTTTCCAATAATTTCCATGCAAATGACCAAATTGTTAGATTGAACAATCTCCCCTGTAAAGTAGGAATATCAAGAAAGTAATTGAATTATTGGTGAAATTGAAATCAACTCAATTCACCTCAAAAAATCACATATGCGATTCTGAAGTCAAAGTGGTCGAAGAAAAGAATATTCTGAATATTTCGATAGACAATGCATACGTCAGAATACGCAAAGATATTCTTACAAATGTAATCTTTATGTGAATAATTCCTGCTGGTTCTGATTCTGATTAAAGTAAACCTTTCAAGTATTATATACTTTTTGGCGTTTAAGAAATTAACGACAGGATTTTTTTAGTTAAAACTTTCTGAAAAGATACCCGACACATTTCGCTATAGTTTTCCAGTGGCGTGGCTAATGCTAAAATGTTAAAATTTGCGATTTTCAAGTGAAAATAGAGCAAAAAAAATTGTGTGGCCCGATGTAGGAGGGAATGGGCATGGTGCCCCTTAATACACCACTGAAGTTATTTCGATCACCTAAATTTTCTCACCAGACAATCAGGCTTTTCAGACAACCAGACTACCCCTTAAAGGGACGGATTCGCCATTTTCAGTGGTTGGATCTCGAAAATGTAAATAGTCTTCAGAAATACTGGAAGTGTACGAAGAGCACATATTTCCTTCAAAAAAATCTCAAACTAGGCATAACACATTCTATTTCTACATGTGTCATTTATAGAAAAGAGTCTCAAAAAAAAGACGGGCGTCTTCAAACGTGGATAATTCTGGACACACATGGATTTGAAGGCTCAAATTTCGACGGTGAGCTGTAAACATTATTACAGATTGGCTAAGCCAAAACAAAATCCCGTTTCTAGGACTATGGTACTATTTCGTCAAACGGATCGCGAATCTGTCCCTTTAAATTGGACAGTGACGTATAAACAGTGGCATGTATATTGTTATTTTACGATTCACACGATTTGTCCCTAGCGTAATGTTGAAATGTCTTTTATAAAAGAAGACAAATTGCAATACAAAAAGGCCAAGCTTAAACAATTGCCAATATTGTTCAATTATATTTGGTAGTAAATTTTCCCTCTGAGATAATCACCAATGACATGGAAATCTGTAAGAAGTCTTTTACGACTTTTGTTACAAATGAAATAACGATTCACAAAGTGGTGGGTGTCGTCTGAAAAATGGCAAGCTATTAAGAACTTCGTCTAATACCTTGACTGCATTGGCCAACTTTCTTGCATCACGGAAGTTTGTAAATGCAGCGTACGGGTTGGTTTGTACGTTAGCGAATACAGACAATGAAAGTCATCGACAAAAAGTCTGTATTCAATACGCCATTTTGTCTTTCTGTCGAGATCACTGATAGGCTGACATAAATGGCGTACGACCCACTAAAACCATTCCGTGATTCAACAAATGTTACTATTGCAATAGCAATATATAAGACGAAGTTCGTAATAGCTTGAAATTGTGAAGATGGCCCTAGGCCTGATGACTTGTTCGGAAACCAACTATTCTTTGAAAACATGCTCCAAGGCGAAAACAGTTATCTTCTATAAGTCTTCGAGAAAGTTTTCTTAAAAACACTTTACTCCAGGCTTGTTTTTGAATCTTGGTATGCAATTGTACACAAAGAGATAGATAGTCTAACTGTCTAATTATAATGTAGGCTACAAAGGAATCAGGGTAGTCGAAATTAACTGGTGATCGAAATTCATTACGTCCGACTTTTGGTCTGATGTGACCACAAACATTCAAATACGCTAGAATCAATATTTTGGTCTAATTCCAGATGAAGAACCATTCTAGAACACCAAAAAACGTCTTTCTCAATTTAAAAATAAAGGATTAGTTCCACTCTATGCATGTAAATGTAAGTCGCACTGTATGACGATGTGTAGTGTACGTCTAAGGACAGCTAAGGGAATTGTGAAGAGGTTTTCTAAAAATAATGATAATTTGTAACGGAGACACTGATAGCATCAATTTGAACCATTCCAATTTATAATCAAATTTCACTAAAACTAAGTGATTAATGACATCACTAATCGCGAACGGCATCATGATACAAGCATATTTTGCGATTAGTGACACAATGGTTCAAATTAATGCTACCAGTCCCCAATAGAAATTAAAAAAAAAACCCTCAGAAAACATTTTTTAAAATTTCAAATCAAAAAAATATAGACCAATGACGGTGTCCTGTTCAAATTTCCTATGGTGTCAAGAAATTTAACGTGATAAAAACTAATTAATCAACAATTTTTTCTGTCACGTATAACCATTTTCAAAACGAAAATTGGAAACAAACTAGACAGTGTCATATAATTTACTTATTATCATGCCAATTGATTTCTGTATTGAAACTCGGTAAATATATACTATGAAAATAATTACTAGTCAAGATGTTTCTTTATAGATTATTCTGTTTGTCCCCATCTTTTATAACAATTAACAACGATCTGTCAATAACGCTTAAAGGTTACCGTTGCGTAATTTACTTTGGAATTCATTAAATTGAATGGAAAATTGAAATAACCGTAAATGCATCTATTAAGTCTAAAGAAGAAACTCAATATTGTACAAATGGAAACACATTTAATAGTAGCACATCCATCACAAAATAATGAATGAAACAAAGAAGAAAAAAAACCAACCATTTTTTATAAGGATTACATTTTTAGTTCACAAGAATTCTTTCTACCATCTGAGCTGGTCATGACATCTCGGCCCCCCTTTTGGGTTTTAGAGGGTATTTATCTGGGAAGACAGAGGATGCATTTAACACGATTTTGGCAGTGTGAAAGTAGATTCTTATTTTTTGAGCCTTTAAA